CTTTTGGATCTATGGGCCCCTGGCTTAAATTCCCCTCCTATAAACCCAGCCCCATCTCCTCAGCAAAATCCTTTAACTCCTAAAATGTTTCCAGTCTTCCTAGAAAATCGGTTAAACCTTCAGCTGCCTGCTTTAACTTTCTTTTCCCTGCAAACTTTACAGAGAACATTCTAGCCCGATCTCCAGGCTGGAGGCACACAGGCTACTTGTGTAAATGCAGACAGCCAGGAAGTAAATCTGGCACAGGCTACAGGAACACACCTGGCTGTACCTTAGAACTCCTACCTCTCGGGCTCTGTCATCAAACTCGGTCAACTCCAGATCTTCCTATGCAGTGAGTGCCCCCTGCAAATGTTTCCTGGATCCCCGACCACAAAGAACTCCTGTCTCCAGGCAGCAGCAGATTTTTTAAATTACAAAACCCTTTTGTCCCCATTTTCAGAAAATTCTGAAATTGAGAGGAGTTAGAGAGATTGCTGGCCATTCACAATCCCACTCATAGGGACCTCAACTGGCTACTAAGGTGTGTTTTCCCCACCTATGATTATACTGTAGTTATTAGGCAGGCCAAATGGCCTCTAGGGGGAAATTCTGTCCCCTAGAGAAAACAGGTGGTTATAACTTCTAGAGCCTCCTGCATGTGACCAGGAAATGGCTCAGATGGAGGCCAATGGGCGTGATAATGGAGGCCTGTCCTGTAAGGTGAATTGGCCTAAGGTTGAATCATGCTCTTAGAAGGAAGGAGAACCTGCTTAGGCCTTTCTGGAATGCTTTATACAAACTTTTAAAAGGCACATTGTGTGAAACCATGAGGCCCAGAACATAGAAATCTTTTAATTTTTGCCTTGGTTGGAAATCTCCCTGATATCAAGAGGCAAATCCAAAATAGTGTGGTTGGCTGGGTGAGTCAGTCTCTAAGTGTTATTATAGAAGCAGCTACGCAATTCTTTGAAAATAGCCTGCAGAAAATAAGAGGAAAAAGGAATTCAAATCAATAGCTCTTGCCTTCCACGTTGAGAATTTACAGAAACAAATGTATGACTCTAACAGAAACTCAAAGTCCCCTTACTTTTCTCATCGACCACAGAGCCTTCCCTGTTTGCAGATATTATAAGAAGACAGGACACTGGAGAAGCAATGGGCCTGGACTTAAAAGAAAGGAAAGATTAAAAAGCATGTTCCCCAGAGCCCACTATCCTCAAAAGTTTCATTTTTACCCCCTTCTGTGGGACAATACTCCATTAATTGATGGGGTCAGTTGATGCTCAGTTACACCCCAGAACCCACCATTAAACTTAAAGGGGAGGATTGGGAACTGGATTTCTTAACTGACACTGGGTTGACTTTCAATACCGCCACTCAGAGGATTAATTTCTACCTGTCACCTCTGATTCTATTCAAGTTGCCAGTCTCTGGGCAACCTTTTGCATTGCCCATATCTTAGACCACCTCTGTATCCTGAGGCCTACTTAACACCCACCATGCCTTTCTCTCTTCTGACTCCTCATCAGCAAATCTTTTCAGTAGAGATTTTTAATGTAAATTTGATGCAAACATATAATGTAATGAGAAAGGTATTTCCCTGCCCTCAGAACAAACATGAAATTTCCCATTTTCTGTAATGGAAACCTGTCTCGAATTAAAATCCTCTGAAGAGGATGCAACCCTAATAGATGTCCCTCCTAGTCTCTGGGCCCCACATGCAAGTGAGGTTGGACTGCTACTAAGTGCAGGGTCTGTGCACATTGCCTGGCAAAGGGGCAAACTTTTCCCATCAGCAGCCCAGTATCCTCTCTCATGAGATGCAGGAGTAGTCCAACGGATAATAGCCTCTCTTTTACAGCAAGGGCTTCTTGTCTTTACTTCCTCGCTCTGTTAACACCTTGATCTTGACAGTAAAGAAAGAAAGGAAATTTGATTCAGATGGGAATACTTGTATGGATCTGTACAAGATCTGAGGGCCATAAACTCCTTTGTAATTCCTGCCACTCCATGGTCCCGGATCCAGCGACCACTCTTACCTCAATTCCTGCTGACACAGCCTGGTTTACAGTGATCGACTTTCACTGTAGTGAAAGTGATTCAGCTTTCTTTTCGATTCCATTGCACCCTGACTTGCAATTTCTCTTTGCATTTTTAGAGGAGGACAACATGGACTCACATGACTCACATATTGTGAGTCTCTCTCAGTATTTTCCCAAGTCCATAAAGTCCACTTAGACTCTGTACCTTTGTAAACCAAACTGAACAAGAGCTCTTATAAACTCCTGCATTCACCTAAAAGCTCTACTCGAATGAGGTCATAAAGCTTTCCTATCTAAACTTCAGTGGGTACAAATAACTGTTAACTACTAAGGATGCCTACTAGGCATTCAGAAACTCACCCCTAAATGCCTTGAGTCAATTTTATCCATCTCTCTCCCCAAAATGAAAAAACAGCTGCATACATTTCTAGGGGCAGCTGGTTATTGTCACCAATGGATTTCTAATTTTGTTGCCTTTGCTCAACCTCGATATGCCCTCCTCCCCAGAAAATAGCTCAGACCTTTCTTTGGCCCTCAGTGGCATTAATCCCCTTTGAAGCCTTAAACTTAGCATGGTCCACACCCCCTGCTCTTGGCTTACCTAATTTTGACAAAACGTTTCACCTATATTGCCATGAAAATAATGGGATTGCTTCAGATATTCTAGGACAAGTTTTTGCATCTCAGTTATGTCCTGTAGCATATTTCTCCTGTCAACTGTGGACCTTGTGGCAGCAGGCATGCCCCATGTCTGTGCGCAGTAGCCACAGTTGCCACCCTAATTGACAAAGGCTCCTCTATTCACTTCTGTGTTCCCTGTGCTATGTCTGCTCTCTTTTAAGACACAGAGTCTCTCTACATGATGACATCTCACCTACAAACAGGCCCTGTAAACCAACTCCTGCATCATCTGATATCATTGCAACACTTTCTATCTGGCTACTCTACTATCTCTTCCAGATGATGGAGAGCCTTTCCCATTTCATCACGCCTGGACAATAGACTAACAGGGGAAAAGGCATACAAATTGTATTGATGTTAATATTATCATGTGCATGGGAATGTCACAAAAAATAAGTGAAAACCCAAAGCAGTTAGACTTGGAAGCTTATATACCATTTTAACAAAGGGTGGTACATTGTGAAGTGATTAGACAAAGGAAAGGGGGTTTGGGCTTCCAGGGATGGTACATTGTGAAAAAGTGACTAGGAAATTTATGGGGGAGCTAACGGAAGATAAGGGTTATTTTAGTAAGGTCCATGTTTGCAGATTTATCTTGGAGCTGACTTTTCATCTCTGGTGATAAGATTGCTATCCGAGTCTTGGTACAGGAAAGGGGGATACCTTCACAGGAGAAATTTATGTTACCTTTACAAAGGCAAAGTTATGCTCTGCTTTTAGGCAAAAAAGATTTATTATTCAATAAAAAATGCTTGACAGTTAACTGAATGACCATCTAAAAAAATCAGGTTAGGCCAGGTGTGGTGGTTCACGCCTGTAATCCTAACATTCTGGGAGGCCAAGGCAGGAGGATGGCTTGAGGTCAGAAGTTCCCGACCAACCCAAGCAAGAGTGAGACCCCGTCTCTACTAAAAATAGAAAAAAAAAAAAAAGTTAGCTTGGTGTGGTGTTATGTGCCTGTAGTCCCAGCTACTCGGGAGGCTGAGGCAGCAGCATTGCTTGAGGCCAGGAGTTTGAGGTTGCTGTGAGCTAGGCTGATGCCATGGCACTCACTCTAGCCTGGGCAACAAAGCGAGACTTTGTCTCAACAATAACAACAACAAAAAAGTCTCAGGAAAAATTGGAGGTCTTAAGAAGCCTGATTTCCTGACCAAGAGTTGGAGACTGGGTTAACTTCTGAAAGTTTATTCTTAGAGGAAGGAGTGGGGAATTATAGACACTCCTTGCGCCTTCTTCATGCTGTTGATATACAAAGTGTTGCCCATTTCACAATCTCATGGTACAGGTCTTTCTTATTTTTTTTTTTTAGAGTTCCCACTACTGAATGGTACAGGTCTTGAGTAGAGGAAGGTATAACCCAGATGTCTGCTGAAGCAGCTTCTTCTTTGAAATTCAAAGGAAATTAGCTTGAGCTATTGGGGAAATCTGAGCAATTTATGCATTTTCTAGTTACCTCAGGATTTGGAGAATTAATTTTATTTTTATTTATTTTAGAGATGGAGTCATGCTATGTTGCTCAGGCCAGCCTTGATTGAATTTCTGGGCTCAAGTAATTCTCTTGCCTCAGCCTCCCAAGTAGCTGGGACTATAGGTGTGCACCACCACCTGACTTTAATTTTAATTTTTGGCTGTTGTGCCTACCTAAGTGCTGTTACTCTTCTGCATTGCTTTTTCCCAACTGAGGGCTCAGCCCTTTCCCCCTCAGCTGCCCTCAGAACAACACTCTCACAAAGCATTTGTTTATGGAGCAAACTTTACTGAAGGTTGCTTGGTTTTTCCCTTCTCTTTTCTCATCTTTTCTCTTTTCACAAATCTTCCAATCTTGAACTTACTATGCTCCAGGGTTCTCTATTCTTCAGGTCAATTCTTTCTTTAAATGCAAAACTACTTTGAGTTTTCTTCTCCAGTCCAGCCTTGTCCTATCCCAGAACTCCTTAGTGCATTTTGCAAAACAAGGGGCTCCTCTAAGAAATGTGAACTTTGAGCTGCAAGAAGCACAGTCAAAGGCTTTTCTTTTCAGCCTCCGTGTCTGAAGAAGGGAGTAGATATTTCCCCACTGGTAGGAATGAGTCTACTGTCCTTACAAGGCAGAAGTGGCTACAGTGAGTTTTGGTCTTATGTAATCTGCTTGTTCTCCATTATAGAAAGGACCAGATTTCACAGTGAGAAATAAAGTCCTAAGCCCCCCAACCAACTGAATTCCCCCACCCCCCCCCACCCCGGGTCAAGGGGACCCCAGAAAAACCTTAAAAACGGAAATCCCAGCCATGACAGGATGGGGGCGGTCAGACTCACCTTATTACACCCCCTTCCGCATTACCCTCCGTCAGGCCTTCTTCCCTTCGAGTTAAACAAAGAGCAGCTCTTCGGAAAGGACTGCCCACCGCCCGCAGCTGGGGCGGTTTCAACACAGCTGCCCAGCGTTCCTTCCTGATAACAGATCACCGACCACAGCATGGTTCTGACCAGTCTGTCCAGGATGGACAGTGAGGGTCTTTGTGTACTCTGCTTCACCTTTTGACTTCTGACGGTTGAAAACGTCACCCTCGATCGTCACGCTAACCCATTTTTGGAGCACGTGTCCCATGAGGTGGCATGAAGCGCAATTGCGCCTGTGCATGCTTCTCCTCTCATAAATATTCATGCAGGCTCCTGTAGCTTGTTAAATATGTATATTCGGCCACCCTGCGCAGCGTAAATTCCTGGTGCCTTCAGCCTACCTTGGCCGAGCTTGCTTCCTGCCTGAGGCTGTGCGTGCTTCCAGCCTGCAGGGTGGCCAGCCTGCCGGCTGCAACTCTTTTTGAGAAATAAGAGCTCTCCTTTCCAAATTTATAAACCTCGTGATCCTTCGGTTGACAGTAACTATCTGGGTTAGATTCACCCCCTGGCCTAACTTCATTCAGTACAGAAAGAAATAATTCAAAGGTAAAACAAAACAAAACGAACTCATTATGGAGTTCCAAGGTCTTGTGAGAAAGTGCTCCATCTGAACGCTACTGAGCATAAATACTATTTCCAAAATGTTTGGATTACTCAAAGGCTAGGGCTCATGGGCAAGTGTTATGATTTTAAACATTATCTAGGTTGTTAGGTTGACATAAAGCCATGTTTGGGCCAGCACTCCAGTTACTGAATTTCTTCCAGGGCACAGGGACAGATAGTTAAATCATCTTACTTTTAAAGGTCGTAATCCTTTATTCTTCTAATGTCTGAGTAAGGCATTTCTTTCCTAATTCCCACATGGCTACCACTCCCAGTGTCTGGCTCTGGGATAATGATTATATGTATATTGCTCAGTACTCTCAAAAGAATAAGGGACATTTACATTCCTTGGTATTTAGACTGTAATATGTAAACTTATCAGAGATTATTCCTCATATTATTTTATTTCTGCTATCAGTGTTGTTTTTTAAAAAAGATCAAAAAACACTTTTGGATAGGTAACTCATGCATACAGTTAAAAATTCAAAAGGTACAAAAAACTATGTCTAGCTAAAAGTGAGTATACCTTCCGCTCCTGTCCCTCAGTTACCTAGTTCTCTTTTGCAGAGGAAATCACTAGGACTAATTTCTTATTTATCTTTCAGAGGTATTTTCTACAACATTCTCCATCACCACCCCCATGGTATACATCCTAAACACGCTACACTCCACATTCTATACATACTATTGTGCATTTGGGTTTTCATTTAACCATATAGCTTGAGGATTGTTCCACACCTGTCAGGACTGCCTTATTTTTAATTTTTTTTAAATCTTTTTAAGCTGCACATCATTACACCTTTATGGAGGTATCATTATTTATTTAACTAATCTCAATCACTGGACATCTACATTGTTTTTCATCTTTTTCTGTCGCCAACAATCCTACATTTAACTGTATGATATGTAGGTCATTTTGCAAGGGTGAGAATATTTGAAGGATAGATTTGTAGAAGTGGAATTGATGGGCTAAAGGATATGGGCAATTTCAATTTTGATAGACATTGCCAAATTGTCCTCCAAAGAGGTTGTATCTATTAAGGTTTCCATTAGCAAATGTGTGGGAGTAACTCTTTCCTTCTACCCTCACCAACAAATAGAGCATGTTATCAAGCTTTTTGAACTTTGTCAATCTTATGGGTAAAAGGGTATCTCATTGTACTTTTAATTTATTAATAGATTCTTAGTGAATAATTTGAAAAGTCATCTTTATCATACACTAAAATTGGCTATGTATTTGATATATTCTGGGCCTTTTGTGTATTCCATTGGTCTCTCTTGTCTCTTCATACCCTACTACTATAGTGTATTGATCATAGTGTCATTATATAATACTATGTTTACTTTCTGCAAACAGGGAGTTTATGAATTGATTATGTAAGGCAAAGATCTTGAAAGAATGTTGTTTGTGAATATTTTTGATTTTTGATATTGTAGCATATTAGCAGATTACTTAAGGAGACTATTACTTTTTAAAGTTTATCATTGAGGCGTACTGCTTTTTGTCCATCATCTGTACTTATAACAATGATGCCTTAAATGAAATGTTATTCTTTACAACAACATTGGGAAACAGGAAGGATAGATAGAATATATGGGATTACCTCAAGATTATATATGATAGAAAGTCCTAAATCCTAATCTAGTTTTCTTTTTTTTTCTTTTTTTTTTTTTTTTTTTGAGACAGGCAGGGTCTCACTCTGTTGTCAGTACTAGAGTGGAGTGGCATCATCATAGCAAATTCCCAGGCTCAAGTGATCCTCCTGCCAAGCCTCTTGAATATCTGGGACTACAGGCACATGCCACCACACCCGGTTAATTTTTAAAATTTTGTAGAGACAAGGTCTCACTATTTCCCAGGCTGGTCTCAAATTCCTGGCTTCAAGCAATCCTCCACCTCAGCCTCCAAAGTGCTAGGATTATAGCAGGAGCTACTGTGCCTGGCCCTAATCCAGTTTTTATTTTTTATTTTTTTTTTATTTTATTGGAATTTATTGACCAAGATTATCTAATCCATTTTTATGTCTACTATTTGGTAATACCTTACCAGTAGATTTTTTGCAAATTAAAAACAACAACTTTTCTACTAAGGGTTAAATTTTCCTTTTGCAAAAAGCTAGCAGTATGCAAGCACAATTCTGCAGTGTATTTCTTGTATGGTGATCTGTGGCCAAGCACTGTGGAATGTATTCCAATCATGGAGTAACAATCTCAAAAGAAATTTTGAAACCAGAATTGGCTTGAATATTGTACATGACACCCAGGACCTTGGCCTACTTCCCAGATTTTCCTTTTTTGGTTTTCTAGCAAGTTCAGTCATGCCTGGGAATTTGCTGAATATGGTACTTGGATCAGTGACTTCCTGAATGTGACATTGGGATCAATGGCATTTGTCTGCCCAAATTTTTTGGACTATAATTTTTAGACCTTTTGCAGTTTAATTAAATCCTCGACTGAACTGGTGCTCAGGAATCTTTGAACAAGGGTGCAAACAGGAAGAGGAGTTTGTGAACTGATATGAAGCAAAGATCTTGAAAGAATATTCTTTGGGATATTGAGTTGCATACCTGGGCACACTGGTATTGCAGCTGGAGGATCTTCAAGTCTTTACATAAAGATGTAATGGATTGAAAGGTAGCTTTACTGCCTTTGACAAATGGCTACCTCAGTAAAGTCGGCCAAAACTTTATAAACTGAGCACCTCTGACCATCTTCCTAGTGGAATCAACATGGAGAGCCGAGAAAGAGCCTCTGTTAGCTACTGAATTATTTAGAACACAAGTATGTGTTGACTTGATGTATTTTGGATTTACATTTCCAAAACAAATAATGTATTCATCATTTCATTTTAAGTGAGCACTTTTTCCTCTAGTGCCATGTGTAATTAAGAGCTGACTATTTTAAAAAGCATATGTAAGTACGTATGATATATATACCTAGTAAGCTGATTTTCTGCCTACACACACGATTCTTAAAAATAGCCTGTGACAACAAATGTCTTGTGCTTTCCTAGGCCATCTCCTGGGAGTGATTCTTAGAGTCATGGGGCTGCATCTTCTGCGCTCACTTTAGGGATGCCTCTTGTGTCAGGTGAAAGATTTTTCTTAAGCCTGGAACATGACTTCCAGTTTCCATGAAAAGGTTGTGGTTTGAGTTGCTGCTTGGAATACACGTACCCCTTGAGATCCTATCGTCAATGGCCAGACAATGGATCCTTTGAATTGGAAAAATTAAAGCGCTTTCTCCAAAACAACTATCTTATTGAATTTGATACTATCGGCAGATAAATGTACAAGAGGGACACAGAAGTGTTACAGCTGGCTTTAGGACTTCTTTGCAAGATTAAGAACAGAAACAGACTTTAGAACACTTAGAAATCACAACACTACGAATCCTCCTTTTGCCCACCTATACTGACTGCCCTATACCCCCAGCTCTTGTCCCTGACTTACCAAAAGATTTTTTGGATCTATTGGGCCCCTGGCTTAAATCCTCCTATAACCCAGCCCCATCTCCTCAGCAATCTTTAACTCTAAAATGTTTCCAGTCTTCCTAGTAAAATCGGTTAAACTTCCAGCTGCTGCTTAACTTTCTTTTCCCTGCAAACTTTACAGAGAACTTCTAGCCGATCTCAGGCGGAGGCAACAGGTACTTGTGTAAATGCAGACAGCCAGGAAGTAATTGCCAGGCTACAGGAACACAGCCTGGCTGTACCTTAGAACTCCTACCTCTCAGGCTCTGTTCATCAAACTCGGTCACTCCAATCTTCCTATGCAGTGAGTGCCCCCTGCAAGATGTTTCTGACCCCGCCCTACAAAGACTCCTGTCTCCAAGGCGCGCCAGATTTTAAATTACAACCTTTTGTCCCTTTCAGAAATTCTGAAAATTGAGAGGAGTTAGGAGATTGCCTGGCATTCACAATCCACCCATAGGGACGTCAACTGGCTACTAGGTGTGTTTTTCCCCACTATGATTATACTGTAGTTATTAGCAGCCAATGGCCTCTAGGGGAATTCTGTCCCCTACGAGAACAGGTGGTTATAACTTTCTTAGAGCCTCCTGCATGTGACCAGGAATGGCTCAGATGGAGGCCAATGGGCGTGATAATGGAGGCCTGTCCTGTAAGGTGATTGCCTAAGGTTGAATCATGCTCTTAGAAGAAGGAGAACGCTGCTAGGCCTTTCTGGAACTGCTTAATACAAACTTAAAAGGCACATTGTGTGAACCATGAGGCCCAGAACATGATCTTTTAATTTTTGCCTTGGTTGAAATCTCCCTGATATCAAGAGGCAAATCAAATGTTGGTTGGCTGGGTGAGTCACGTCTCTAAGTGTTATTAATAGAAGCAGCTACGCAATTCTTTGAAAATACTGCAGAAATAGATGAAAAGGATTCAAATCAATAGATCTTGCCCTTCCACGTTGAGAATTACAGGAATGTTCCGATCTACAGAACTCAAAAGTCCTTACTTTTCTCATCGCCACAGAGCTTCCCTGTTTGCAGATATTATCAAGAGACAGGACACTGGAGAGCCTGGGCCTGGACTTAAAAGAAAGGAAAGATTAAAGACATGTTCCCCAGAGCCCACTATCTCAAAGTTTCATTTTACACCTTTCTGTGGGACAAACTCCATTAATTGATGGGGTCAGTTGATGCTCAGTTAACCAACCA